CCTCTCTCCTGAGTGGCTGCACAAGCAGAGAGCTTATAGGGAGCACCGCTATCCACCAACTCTGACAGTCCTGAAGACAAAGACGATCCAAGGGGTTTACGGGATGCTTTCGGAGGACACCCAGAGCATGAGTCTATTGCAAAGGAATAAGGCTTTTACCTTGCATCTTGGCTTGACCCAGGCTCGGTCCCTCTGCCCCCCATGGGGTCCTGATAGCCTGGGTTTGAACCCTGAGGTAGTGCAATTTGTGTGTAGATGGCAGGGGAGTTAGGCCTGAGCCTGAATTTGAACCCTGGGCTTACACCATAACGTAGACATACCCAGAGACTATTACCCAGGATTAAAACACCCAAAGAGGCACCATTCCATGTATCTATCCACCCTAGGAACAGGGACTGGTGTTAGTTACAAGACACCCACCCATTCATCAACAATATTGGCCCCCGGCAACTATTAGTTCAGTCCAGTCCTGCCGACAAGGCTTAGATACCCCTCGTTAAAGCAGATCCCGCCCTTCCAGGAAGCATTTGGCCCAAGGACCTCCCCACACCGCTCTTACTCATTCCTTAGGCAGATAACCCCAAACAGAACCTGCCCTGCTGAGCCAGCAAACTTGAGCTAGGAGAACCTCTGCCTTCGCTGATACGAGGAGAGAGTGTGATTTGCCCCAGGGTTACAAACAGGAAGAGAGGCAACTTTAAAAAAAAAAGTCATCGCAGGCAAATACTGTTTGGGGGAATTCAGTGGGAAATGGAAAAGCCTGAGGTTTTCCCGCAAGCTTAAGTTTACACCCTCAGCGAGCTCAAGAAATAGAAAGTATCAGTATTGTTCATTATGTCACTGCGGCTGATGGGATGTGTCAGGGGCGTCTGCAAGCACGTGAGAAAGCAAGTAGTGATCTCTGGCGCACGTAGGAGGGAGAGCATGCGGAGAGGAAGGCTGCTCCATAGCATTTGCCTAGAACTTGAGAGCACCAGGGTCAAGTCCCTTCTGTGCCACAGCCTTTCAGTGTGAGCTTGGGCAAGTCATTTTGCTCTCCGTTTCCACACATTACAAAGACTGGAAGTGGCTCAGCCACCGCAGCCGACACTTCCAGCTGTATCCGGGGCTACTGCTGAAGCCCCATTTAAATCCGGTTGTGGTGCAGCAGGATCCTCCGGTACTTTGGCTAGCGCGCGGGGGCGGGGCCAAAGTCAGCCTATGGATTTCTCCGAGTGACTGGGGATAGCTCTGGCTTCACAGGCGCTAAGGCTCTTGTCACCTTTAAAAACGTGCTCGATTGTGGCCAGCGGTCCAGTAGGGCCTGCAATGGAGGTAGCTCTCTCTCTCTACCCTCCCTCTGTCTCAGGGCCACAGGCTGAAGGGGAGAGGGAGGAAGCAAAATGGGAGCTAGCTAGCGTCCCTTAGTGCTGCTCCACGCCTGTTGCAGTGTTCCCTGGCCGAAGGCAGACGCCCGGAAGCAAAGAACCCAGCGGATGTGGAGTCAGATCCATGGCACCAGTCAGACACCCCCACACCTACTTCTCTCGAGTCCTGCTGTGATTCCCTCCTCCCGCTGGGTCTGACCTCATCCAGGCATGAGTCCCTCCAAAGGCACCAGGGAGCGCTGTGGGAAGCAGGGTAGGGTGAAGAGGGGAGCAGAGCCACATGGCTACGCCATACCCATTTCTCAAGGCTGTTACTGTCGTTGTAGGTGAGAGGACCCAGGCGGCCGTAGGCACCTCCGGCTGGAAGCTCCATCCAGAGGTGAGACGACAAGATGGCCGCCCTCATCACTGAAAACTTCCGCTTCCTCTCTCTGTTCTTCAAAAGCAAAGATGTGATGATCTTTAACGGGCTGGTGGCCCTAGGCACGGTGGGAAGCCAGGAGCTCTTCTCTGTGGTTGCATTCCACTGCCCCTGCTCTCCAGCCAGGAACTACATCTATGGACTGGCTGCCATTGGCGTCCCAGCCCTGGCCTTGTTCCTCATCGGCGTCATCTGGAACAACCACACCTGGAACCTGGTGGCCGAGTGCCACAAGCGAGGGGCCAAGAACTTCTCAGCTGCAGCCACCTTCCTGCTCTTCGGCTCCATCATGGGGCGGGCAGCCGTGGCCCCCGTCACCTGGTCCGTCATCTCGCTGCTCCGCGGAGAAGCTTACATCTGCGCCCTCAGTGAATTTGTGGACCCTGCTTCACTAGATAAGTTTCCATCCAGATACGGACCAGAGACCCTGGCCAGGTTCCCTTGCAAGGACATTCCAGGGAACTTGACGAGTTTCAAGGAAGAAGTCATACGCCGACTAAGATACGAGTCGCAGGTATGGGCCTATTGGTACGTGAGTGTGGAAGGAGCAGACAAGGGACCGGGAGGCAGGGCTCCTGTCATTTCTGGCTCAGGGTGAGACTGTTGAGCTGGGAGTTAGGAGAGGAGACAGAGCCAAGACTCCAAGGCTCAGAAACAGAAGTTGAAATCCTGGTCCCACTGAAATCAAAGGGAGTTTTGCCATTTACTTAAACCAGAATATTACACCTAGTGGTTAGAACAGGGCTACATTCCCATCTCTGCCACACGCTTACCATGTGACCATGGGAAAATTACCTCCCCCCCCCCCACCCTGGTACCGCATCACCCTCCTCTGAGGGAGGAGAACACACCCCCTTTCCTTGTGTGGCTTAGTCCAGCGGTTTTCAAACTTTTTGCTCATGACCCAGTTGAAGAAAATTGTTGGGGCCCATGACCGGACATCATCTGACAGGAGTGTAGGCACCAGGCTTACCATGTGACCATGGGAAAATTACCTCCCCCCCCCCCACCCTGGTACCGCATCACCCTCCTCTGAGGGAGGAGAACACACCCCCTTTCCTTGTGTGGCTTAGTCCAGCGGTTTTCAAACTTTTTGCTCATGACCCAGTTGAAGAAAATTGTTGGGGCCCATGACCGGACATCATCTGACAGGAGTGTAGGCACCAGGGCGGGACTGAAGATGAGAACTTTGGTGTGGGAGGGGGCTCCAGCTGGGGGGGTCAGGGCTGGGGCAGGAGGGGCTGACCTTGAGTGGCTCTCAGTCAGCAGGGGGGCTAAGGCCTTGGCCCCCCCACCCCTGCTGCCCCAAGAACCAGCCGGCAACAGGTTCCCAGCCAATGGGTGTGCAGAGCTAGTGCTTGGGGCAGAGGCAGTGTGTGGAGCTCTCTGGCTTCCCCTTTGTCCCCCGCAATTGCACAGTCTGCAGTGCCAGGACAGGCAGGGAGCTGCCTTAGCCCCCGCACTGCTCACCTGACCCCCCTGCAGCCAGGAGACCCAGGGCCTGACCTTCCATGACCTGTGCACTGAAAACCATTGGCTTAGCCGATCTACTTCTCATTGAAACTCCAGCACGGGGAAGTCAAGATAAGCAAACTGGGGAAGGCAGCCCTGAAACACCCAGCTCTGGGCAGGATGCCTGGGCAGGATGCCAGCCTCTCTCTTTTCAAGCCGAGCCCTTAACTCCCCCAGCCAACGAGGGGAGACAGAAGGTGTCAACCGCACAGGAAGCAGGGAGGGGAGCAGCAACCAGACACATTCAGGCTCCTCCGTATCTCGAGCATTTCCCTCCTGTGCCTTTTCTGCTTTCTGGGCTAACGCGTTTCGTAGCGTGGTAGCTCTCTCCAGCCCCGCCCCAGTCTAGCCATTCGGCACAGCTTGCCCCACAGGATCACGGGCAGGTTCCAGCGTGCTGTCAGAGAAGCCCACGCCCTGTGCCTGGGAGCGGTGCGTGTTCAGAAATTGGGGGCAATTTCCACCCAGCTGAGGTGCGAGCTGCTCTGAGACCAGGCTTAGTGACCAGAAACTTGCAGTTTCTGCAAGTCGTCTGCCCGGAGGGGGGCTTGCTTTTAAGACACTTGTTTAAGGCTCTGTGGGGACCTCCAAAAAAAGCAGCAGTTGTAGGGGACGGAGAACAGCACATTCTGCAGACAGAGAGATCAGGTCTCAGAACCACCTCCGCACCAGCTAGCCCCGGGCTTTGCGGTTCTGCACCACCATGCTGGATGTGGGGCAGACTCCTCCGTTCCCACTGCAGCCGTCCCCCGTGGCCCAGTCAGGAGCAGAGGTGATGGCGGGTGTCCCTGAACTAGAATAGAAAGGGGTGCCCAGTAGGAATGTAAAATCCCGGTTAACCAGTTAACCAGCGAGATGTTAAGTTGTCCTAATCGGGTAACCGGTTAAACCTTAACTGAGATCCGGGCAGGGGACTCCAGGCCAGCTGGAGCAGCCCCCAGCCTGTGGGGCTCCTGCTCCCAGTCCTGCACAGGGGCTGGGGGCTGCCAGCTCCCAGCCCCAGCCACGCAGGGCGGGTTGCCAGCTGGTTGCTCTGCACATGGGCAGTGGGCCTGGAGCAGCCCTCTAAGCTACAGTGAACTGGTAAGCATCACCCAGAAAGGATTACCGATTCACACCCCTAGGCCAGAGATGTGCATCTCTGTGGAAATACCAATATAAGGGCCTGAAAACTCTGTGAAGTTCCCATCTCAAACCTTCCCCTTAATTCTTCGGGGGGGGAGGGGGGGGAGATTAGGTGTCACATCTACTGCTCTTGCAGGTTCCCCCAAATCACTGTTGCTCTGTCAGGGGCAGAGGTGTGCAAAGGTTCAAACACCCGAGCTGATCTTAGCTGGCAGGTTAGAGGGTCATAAAAAGGGAAGGGCACAGAGCCCAAACTATACATTAATATAAACAGATAGGCTAGGTTTACCCTGAGATCAGAGGAGTGGCTGCAGCAAGTGTTGCCCCACACTACAGGTGATGCAGTCACACATCTGATTGCAGTGTTGACATATTCTTAGAATCACATGCAGAAATAAACTGGGCATCAGGGCCATTTATGGAGCACAGCTGTGTTATGCTTCATGAATAACTACTAAGGACTGGATCCTGAAAAGTACTGAGCTTTCCCGTGAATACAGGAAGTAGAGAGCACTCAGTACGTAGCAGGAGTGCTCAGCACATCACAGGATAAAACCCCAAGGGGATATATGCACTGCATACAACTTGAACTTTCCAAATAATCTTCAAGGGAAATCTCATATTTATGGATTATTTCAATACAGGCAGTCCCTGACTTACGCGGATCTGACTTACGTCGGATCCGCACTTACGAACGGGGCTTTCTCGCCCCGGAGGTCGAGGTAGCGGATTGCTACCTGCGAGC